GAAATTTCAATGTCTTTGTTGAGATGATGAGAATGTCTCGGTATAAGCCAAGTAACTATAACTTGTCTTATTATTCATTTTCGTGTTCGATGAAAGAATAAGAAGACCAAATAATCTTTAGAGAACCGTAGTGGATTTTGAAAAATACATGCATGTTACAAATTTGTGTCAAAGAAGATGACTTCTATATGTTGTAACTTCCATATACAAATTTTAAAGATATTTTTAACTTTTTCTTATTTTTAGATACACAAATAATCAATTAGCTACAAATTATTGTATAATTTATCATGTTAATTTAACGCAACGCGTAGACAAATCATACTTGGCAGTTGTTAGCAATATAATACGTGTACGAATTTCTAGTTTTGTTTCATTTGATATTGGATTGGATAATACGATCTTGTCACCAACTGATACAAAGGTCACCAGATTACATTCATAATTGTTTGATCAAATTTAGGAACAATAAGGGAAAAGTCTTATTTTGATGGAACCAACAATAAAGTACGACAACTTATTAATATATCTTGACATGTTCCAAATATTTGATCTAATCTGGTTTGATTCCATAGGCTCAAATCGTTGCTCAGAATTGTATGAAACCTTTCTCCTTCAAGGACTCGACGGTCTCCTTAATGCTATCCTTCAAGGGTATGTAGTCTATGCCAAGGCTCTGTGTTTTCTCCTTGGACGCTTGATATATCGGCGCGTAGGGATTCTCATCCACACACCTGCATATGAGTCAAAAAAAGCATTTGAAACTGGACACAACCCCCGACCGGTGTATAGATTTAGAGATGTTTTACCTTTCAGGGAGTTGAAGATTCGGGTAAAGCTCTCGCAGAATGTTAACGATCTCGGAGAAGTGAGCAACTCTCTCGACCAAACAATAACGTCCATTAGCTGAAGGGACTTCAAATGCTTGGAAGTGCGCATTAGCTACATCCTTAACATTAACCCATCCAAAACTCGAGTTGGGAAAGGTCTTTGCACCTGCAGTACAGGAAGTCGAAATGGGATCGATATCTAACATTTGACAAAAAYGGTATTAACAATCAAGACAGAAAGAGGAAGTTTTTGTTTACCATTTATCAAGTTTAGTATAGCAGCGGCACTCGTGTTCAGAGTTGGCTGCAAKAGAGGACCGATCACCATTGCCGGGTTAATAGTAACAATGTCTAAGCCTTTCTCTTTGGCGAATTTCCAAACAGCATCTTCGGCCAAAGTTTTGGATAGAGCATACCACACCTGAATCCAGTAATTAAGATTTGTCACATGTTCGATCATACAATGAACAAACAAAGAAGAGCCAAAATCATCACAATGAACAAACAAAGATACATCATAGTCTAAATCCTCAAGTTTTCAAAAACACACCTTTGAGGCCTTGCAAAGGTCAGGATCAGAGAACCAAGTTTCGTCGAGAATAACATCCGGTGTAAGAGGTTTTCCATTGTAAGCAACAGCTGCCATGGAAGAGGTTATAACAACCCTTTTAACCGAAGAAGATGCTTTGGCGCACGAATTCARAACGTTAAGTGTTCCCTTAACCGCAGGATCAATAAGTTCAACCTGAAAAAATGGGGATCAAATCAAGGTCAAAGAAAACCAACCAATCCACAAAATAAACCACAAGTTTTGAGGATAATAAGAACCTGTGGATCTTTAACATCATGATAAAAGGGAGATGCGGTGTGGAAAACTGCTTCACATCCATCAATAGCAGAATCAAATGATCCTTCATCTAAAAGATTTGCTTTGAACAAGTGAAGTCTTTCACTTGCACCTTCTAGTGAAACCAAGTGTTGTGTCTTTTTCGGATCACCTGTCAAGTAAATCATACATAAACAAATTTACAATGAAAGCTTAAATCTAGGGGTTTGTACAATCAGAGATCAAGGATCATCCAAAAGCCTCAATTTTTAATATCCAGYTTTGACTAAATCAAGAATTCACAATCAGGACACTAGAGATGAAAGTGAGAGAGAAGAGAGAAGGTACTGAACTGGGGTCTCGGACAGAAGCCTTAACGGTGTAGCCACGGCTAAGTAGGAGCTTGACGAGCCACGAGGCGATGTAACCAGACGCTCCTGTTACACAAACCACCTTACCTTCACCGTTTTTTGCCATTTTCGTCTCTCGATCTGTCTCTCTTTCTCACTATTCTTTTTGTGTCTCCTTTTCAGTCTAAGTGGAGGGACCAATATATATTCTTAACTTTGGTCTGATTTTTTCCTCTTTTCACAACGCTCCTGATATTTTCGGCCATTTGTGTGGTCATAAAAAAATGCAGAAGTAGTCATCCATTTCTCCCCAAACTTTCAATTTGACTTGTCAATTTTGGCTTCTAGATGGTACATTTTGTTGTTGTGTGAAAGACATAGTAGAGATAATAACTAATAAAGGAAGAAACTTCAAGATTTAATGAACAAAGTACAATGATATCAATGGTTGTTGAAGATAAAGCTTACAACTTTGTTGTTATTACACAACATTAAAAACTAGTTGCTGTACAAGATGATGATACTAAGTAATGGAAGTGGATGGGGAATTTTCATGAGTGTGATTTTTACTTACAGAACTCACTTCCTTCCCAACCTAACCAAATGGGCTTCGTGCTTTGCTGCCGCAGCTACTTCTGCTGCTTTGTTAGCAGCTTCGCGCTTCATTGCTCTCTTTGCACGTCTTCCTGTTGTATTTGTAAGTTTCACCTGCTTATCCTTAGTCTCACACGAGGATGACCCAGAACTAGAACTGGAACTGGAACTACTGTGTTTCTGGACTGGCCTGGCTTCTTGACGCCCCGATCTGACAAAACCATTGTCACCCCATCTTCGATTTCCTATGCGAAGACTTGGCCCACGCAAATAAAACTCGTCAAGGTCATCATCTTCATCCTCGTAGTCACAAGGAATGTCAAAATCATCATGGTAGCCATCGCTGTATGACGCCTGTTCCGCCACATCCAATGGTAGAAACCAAGAGGCTCTCAGGAGAAGGCACACACTCTCCTCAAACATAAAATCCTCAATGCTGCATAGAAATACCACAGAGAATTTAGTAGAAAAAAAGAGAAGCATCAAATTCCAAACTCAAGTGTAAATTGGTAATTATCAATGGGTCGCAACTTGTATACAGATTATATAACAACCAAACAAGAATGAGATAAGAGTTCCATCAAGCAAATGGACTAACATGACGCAATATGTAAATAAAGAAGGAAACTCACCTGCCATCAAGAGCACGGTGGACACTGAGGAAATCAAATGGCTGCTTACATTGCGGGCATGTAGGACTACTCTCTTTGTAACTCGCCCAGCGAAGTATGCACGTCACACTGAATAGATAGAAATGAATTACTCCTCTTAAAAACCAAAGGAGAAAGTCAGTTTCTACATAGGCATAGAATCAAACACAAAACATAAAAAAACGTTTACAGGTTAAATTTTAAAACCAAATTCTACAGCTGAAAGCTTAGGAGAAGAAAACAAAATTTGATCTGAAGAAATAATCAATATATACACACGAAAGACTGAAATTTTTAACTCATAAAACATAAACGAAACCCAACCGGAAGCACATCTAATACTATCATCACAAAGAAAGCAACAGAGGAAACCAACAAAGCATACCAGTAAGTATGTTCACAGCCTTTCACCATAGCAGTTTCTTGAAGAGGAATTTCATTCAAGCAAATTGCACAACATCCACCATGATTCCCGAAACTCGGCTCATGGATCTCTTCCTGGGTCTTGTTTTTATCCTGACCAAAGTTCACATAAATGTTTGAGTTACCTCCATAAAAAGTGAAATTTGGGAAAAGAAATAGAAATCAAATACATGGAGATAAGCAGCATCAGCCACTCAACATTGCAAAACAATCCAAATGACCAAAGCCGTAAACCTAAAGAGCCCTAATTATCCAATCCCAAATTAAACACACTCTAATGTTCCAGGGCAAAATCTATACACAGAGAAAGCATCGTCGAGAATTCGAGGGCTGAACACGAATGGAATCAGCTCCAAACTCCAAAACATAGAGCCCCAAAAAACCCAAAAAACAAAAAATCGCATCTTTGATCTGGAAAGACGCAGATAAATTAAATTAGGGTAACAAAAGACCTGAACTTGAAGAGCCAAATCCTGAATACCGTCGATCACTTGCTGTTCGGATACGATCTCGGTTACGGAACTCATGGCAGCGAAAATAAATATTAAAAATTTGTTTTTTTTTCGATGTATACAAAACGAAAGAAAGACAAGAAAAATATCTAATTCCTAAATCTAATCGTGAAGAAGAAGAACCCTAATCTAAACTACAGGATT